TTCTTCCATATCTAGGACACAATTTTTGGTCGTGGTTGACTTTAGATGTTAGTAATTTATGAACTAAGATGAAGATAAAATTATAAAATCAAATCTTAAAAACAAGACAAACACAGGAGTATAATATATTCGCTATTATAATCAGATACAAAGTATTACGAAATTAAGGGTCTTAAGACATAACGAAATTTGTAATAGAAAAGTCTTATACGAAAAGGTTCTATTTTTGCATTTTTCTTTTGTAAAGTAAAGTTCGATTATGGATCAAACTATTTTCTCTGCACAGGACTAAAACGTTCAATCCATGGCTTAGGAAACATTTCACATCGTCCAATAATTCAGGCAACCGGTTTCCCAAAAAGTCACCATATGTTCTTCCATTTAATCAGCCTTCAAAGAAATAGGGTCTCACAAGTACATCGCCTATTACGCCAGCCCAAACATTTACAGAGAACCGATGTTGAAAATGAGTTTCCCTAATCGCGTCATGATTTTCATCGGCCCATATGTGCATATTATGGAAATTCACTTCATCACGGGTAAATGTCGCCTCATCTGTTACACAAGTATAAGCACGAATGTCTACTTGATTGGCATATTGCCGTAACAACCATCTGGCGTTTTAAGATGCGATGTACGGTACGAGATGAGGTTCTTACTTGCTGTGCGAGTGGTCGAGTACTAATTCTGGGCTCTTCGTCAAGATTTTCGAACAGTGCATCTTCCACATTGCTTCACCACGAGGAAAAACACTTCCCGTATCTCGCAGCCGCTGAACGGGGGGGGGGGGGNCATTTTAAGAATTATTTTCACGTACTTATAAATAAAAGTAAACAATTTTATATGTAGGACTAAGCAAGTAAATGTTATAAGAATATTTACATGTGGAATTATATATAAAAAAGTTAGTATTTTCGTAGATTTCAGTACCTAAAACCTTAATGGTTTGATCGTTTTTTGCACCTGTTTATTAGTTTTACTGCGGCGTCTTTGAAAATATCCAGATGGCATGACATAACATTCCTATAATTTCATAAGCTTTATATTATTCAGTTATTAAATGTTTGAAATTATTTGTCTTTGCGGAAAACACTATTTAAAAAATATGGGGCCCTTAAGGAAATAATCTATTAAAAGTAACAACTTGTCGTTTGCAGAGGATAACGACAAAAGAAAACCCAAAATAATTGATGTTCGTTTAATTCAAATAAGTATACTGCAAAAGGCTACAAGTAGGTATATTAAAGTGCATTTACCTTTTTTTTCAGCATTTTGGTGCAGTTAGTGATTTTACTATACTTTGATGGTACCACTAACTTAAATTACTTCAAAAAATGTTTCTAAAAATGTCATCAACTGAAGTCATATAAGTCAGAACAGCAATTTTTTGAAAATTTACATTTACGATTTCAATATGTCGTATTTTTTTTTGTCAAAAATGTATATGTAGACTCTACATATACATTTTGATGATCTCTCTACATTGTAGAGAGATCATTTTCTATTTTTATTTTATATAATTACTGATTGTCTAATTAAATATATTTTATATAGCTAGACTTTGGCATCAAAGAAATTGTACGTTTTTAGATACATTTTTGGAATTTATTTAAATTAGTAAGTAATATGAAAAATGTTAGAAATTTTAAATATTTACTTTCACACGGTCGATAGCCGCACGGTTTAAGGCGTCAGTACTTAAATCGGTGTGTCGATCTGCCCGGGTTTCAAATCCCGCGGCCGGTAGACCGTAGATTAGCTATGCTTGTACGGAGGATTGGCACCCTCTGTGCAGGTATGGTAGGGTGGAAGAATGTTGGCTTGGGTCAATGTGAGAGATTGACACCGGTTGGCATTTGACCACCCCCTTAATTAATGAGGTTTTCCAGGTTTCCCTCATTCCTGCACTGAATGGTGGTTAGGGCCTACCAACATAAGTCGTTCCTGGGCGCAAATGCGGCCTACTTAATAATAATATGCCGCCTCCTCTCACGCACAAGTCTCCGACTTCTGGGCTAATTCTCGTAGTTACAATGAGGAGTAGAGATATTATTATTATTACAACAATACATTTCTGGGAACAGAACTGTGAGGTTGTTTTGCAACGTTGTCTTTCTTCTTAAATTAGTATTTCAAAGAAATTGTATAAAATATATCCACCCAATCGTCAGTATCAATCAAAATATTCCTCCCACCATTTCCCTATTTTCAACGGAACAAGCTGTACAAAATAACAATGAAACTTTCAGGTGTACCCTAATGTGTTGCTCTGAGTGTCCTGTGAAGAATTAATCGATCAGTTCTTTGGCTTATGTAACTTTTTGTAGAAAGGCGTAAAAGGTGTAAGCACTTTTTACCATCTGAAAATAAAATTATGAATAAGTATACAGATTTCTCTTATCTCCTGATGCGGCAAATATAAATTATTATCTGTAGTTATCCTTATATTTAGTTTTTATGTTGCTCATTAATATATAAAGATGTCAGTTTAAATGTTGAAAAAAATTTTCAAGAAAGGTATATTCAAATAACCGCCTACTTGTATATCCTCATTTATCTGAATTCCGAAGTTATTTCACCTAAAGTTTACAAGGAGTTGATTGAATATGTTTTCACATATTAAACATTTTAACATTTCTCATTTATGTCAGCATTTCTATTAATACTGATTAATTTCATTCAAATATAATAATAATTATACAGAATGTTACAAAACGTAACTCAAGCGGAAATTTGCTTTTGAATAACTTTTCTTTTAAAAATAAGATTGTACAACAATGCACGGCCCAATTCCCAATTGTGCTAGCTTGTCCAGCGGCGGAATAAGAAAAAGGGATTAAAAAAATTAATTTGAAAAAATAAACTATTGATACATATTTCTAAAGGTCAAAGGAAGCCTCTGTATAAATATGACCCCCTCTCAAAGTTACACCTTGTATTCAGAATCCCACATTTGAGATGTTTTACTTACCAGTAGAACTGTTGCGTTATTAATAATGTGATAGTTACCAGCTCTAATACAAACGCTTCTCTGACTGCGGATAATCACAATAAAAAAATCTTTCCAGATATGTTGTAATTTCGATGAGTACCATTTGCACTCAGAATATACGGTGTCTGCGATTGCTGCTGACTGAGAAACAATTACATTTTAAGTAACTTTTTGTAATTTATTTACAGCATTTGTTTAATACCTCGTCCATTAATAACTGCGCAGGGAGGCCATAAACCATAAAAAATTCGGCAACCATGGTGAAGATGATTACGAACATCCTCACTTTGTCAGATATAGATCCTTGGCTGGAAATGGTTTCAAGGTTAATCATTTAGGTATGCAAAACAAATAATTTCGAGTGTGCCAAATCATGTGTCAAGAAAATTATTTAGAAATAGGACAGAATCGACTGATAAATTATTTTATTATGATTATTTTTTTATTAACATTTTTTGTTCAGAAATTTTCTCTCTATCTCTTTTCCTTAAAAAGTTACAATAACAAACATACAAAAATATATTCTATTGTATTGGATTACTGTGAAAAACAATCGCTGGTACTCCTGTCACAAATTTGTTCACGTATTAGTTGCTATCTCCTTCTTAAAAAAGGTCACTCCACGAAGAAAAATGGAACAATACACATAATGACGGTTAAATAAGATAACCAAATATACAGGGATGGCCAGAAATACGGAATAAAATTCATATCTTTTGAATGAGTAAATTTTTTTTAAAACGCCGAAACACGTTAACTGATTTTGATTTTTTCTCATCTTTCGGTTATATAATAATTAATTTTTCTTCAACTCCCTAACTCCCAGCTACCCCTACTTTTTTTTTCAAATGGAAACATAAGGCATGAGGGGGCTCGTTGAAAACCTTATAGAAAACCGAATTCAGCCATGCCAAATAAACAAGTTTTATTTTTTCAATAACAAGTTTTTTTTTATTTAGAAATTGAAACAACTAGATAATTTACAAAAATAAAGTCAATGTCGCAAATGCTGAAAATATCCTCCATTCACTATTTGGCATTTTCCAAGACGATAGTAATGCTGACCACAGCATTCTGAAAGGCTTCAGCTGGTAAATTATGCATCTCCGCCCTAATCTTGTTCTTTAAATTTTCAATATTATCCGGTCTGTCCTAGTAGACTCTTTCTTTCAAATATCCCCAAAGAAAATAATCCAGGGGTGTTAAGTCGGGGGATCTTGGCGGCCA